CGCCCCTGATCCAGACCCAAAACTGCATAGATCTGCATAGTAGATGCAGGTACACATGTAGTGTCTGTCCTGTCTCTTTTCATCAGTGGAAATTTCCACAGGAGCCCCAGGATTCCCACATCAGGTGTAAACTGGGTTTTACAACTGGGTGTCCGGCCTCCCAGGGGCCACCTGGTCTGTTGTCCTCCCAGACCCCTCCCCCAGTATCTCAGGTGAGCGGGGCCTTCAGTTGGGACTGAGTAAGAGGGAATACGTCCTCATTCTGCTCACCCATGTCTGAATAACACTGGACCCGACTGATTCGGGCAGGGTCTCCCAAGGGTGACCTCTAGGTCTCCTATTTGAGCTCCTGGGAAGCCTGACAACATGGCACGCAACTGGGTCCCTTCACCGGACCTGGACGGACATCCTCCATGCTCCTAGCAGCCCTCAGCCAGCCCTGTGTACCCCTGTCCCGGGGCCGCAGTGAAACTGAGTGGAGAGCAAGGTCGGGGGGACTTTGTGGTCTTCAGAGATAATGCCCTGTCCAGTCAAGAAAGCACAGTGTGGCGGAGACAAGAGGCTCAGGTGCCCCTGCGGGAGCCGGTGAGGGTCCTGTGCCTGCTGGGAGGCACGGTGGCACTTCCTGGGCCGGGTAATTGTGTTACCATAGGGCTTGGGGTGTAATAGTGGGTCCTGGATGTGGGTGTAGGGTTTGGGGGTTACTGTGGAGTTGCCCTGGGGGTTGGGGTGGGGGTTCTGGGCTTTCTGGTAGGTTTCTCTGGAATTTCGACAGGGTTGGTCTAAAAGGCCACAAACCTGTGCTTCTGTCTGGGCCCAGAATGGGGAGGGAGCGAAGGAAGCCGGGGCTGAGGCGGGTGAGGTGACCCAGGTTCTCAGAAGAGGGGACAATCTGAGGTTGCAGGGCAGCAAGGCCTGTGCCACCCCATCTTGGCATTCAGGTCCCAAACCCTGGTGGCCAGCGGCATTTACTGGCAGCAAGGGGTTGGGAGTGTGGAAGGTCCTTGCTCCCCAGGGGGTGACTGAAGGCCAGATCCTGTGATGCCCGGGCTTTCTGTGAGGAGGAAGGACCTGGGAGAAGGGCCGGGGCAGCAGGATGGTGCTCCTAGGTTGTGTCCCCAGCAGCTGGGTCCTGGCTCCCACCTCAGTCTCAGAGCCCTGGCTGGGTGTGGCTGAGGGGAGACTCTGGAGGAAACGGGACAGACCCTCTGTCTGTCCACAGGTTCCAGAACTCATCTTGGACCCAGGCGAACAAATGGAGACTTGTTCTTGCAGCCTAATCCTGGAACACTTCCTGAGAGGAGGAAATACGGAGCAAGGATGGGCAGAGGGGTGGGAAGCAGGGAGAGGGGTGGTCCCCAGCAGGAACAGGCCGAGAGCCATTTCAGAGGTAAGCACAGACTAGGAGGAGCTCTAGCCACAGAGACTTGGGGTAGGGAAAAAAGAGTCATTCGTTCATTTTAAAAAATATGTTCTTATTGATTTTTAAGAGAGAGAGGAAGAGAGAGGGATAGAGAGATAGAAACATCAATGAGAGAAAAACATCATGGATCAGCTGCCTCCTGCACAGCTGCCACAGGGGATCAGGCCTGCAACCCAGGCATGTGCCCTGACCCGGAACCGAACTGGCAGCCTCTTAGCTCCCGGGTTGATGCTCGGCTAAGCGAGTCGTTCATTCTTGTATCCATCATTCATTCACTCAGCAAACATTTGCAACAGCAGCCGTGTGTCAGGCATGGCACCAGGAGACACAGAGACGAATCAGAGGCAGGGACAGCAACTGGAGAGGCTTCCAGAAACTCGGTTCCTCCCCCAAAACCTGCAGAGTTCTCCAGGTCCACGGTAACTAAGCTTCCACCTCTGTGCCTCTCCAACACAAAGCAAGTCCATTACCTCCAACTCCAGCTTCCTTCTTCCCCAGGGTTCCACCCCTGCTCCAGCCCCTGCCCTGGGCCCTGCCACTCACATATGCCATGCTCTTTCACTCTGGGCAGAGGTAGCAGAATTGGGGCGAGACACTCTGAGCACCTTCCCCGCAGGAGGGAGGAAGAGTGCCGAGGAGCGAGGAGCGAGCAGAAGGCCAAGGAAGAGATGTGTGAGCGGAGGAGTCCAGGCCTGGATCCTCAGCCCGGCTTTGCATCATGCTGGGAGAGGGAGGCATCATTCATCCGCCCAGGGGTGGAGATGGGGCAGGGGGAAGGGAATGAAAAACACCCACAGCCCATTAACCTACTTTTGCAACTTCATTAAAACAGAGTCTCCGACATGTCGCCATAAATTGTGTTCTGAGGAGGAAGCCAGATCCAACATCCAGTTCTAGCAGCGAAGCCCCTGAGAAGAGGCCGGAACAGCCAGGAGGAAGGGACCGTCTGGGGGTGGTCACTGAGAGGCTTTGCAGGCTGGGCCGGGCCGGCTACGATATTGCAGGAGCTCTTCCTACCTGGGCAGTCACCGGGGAGGGACAGGGAGGGAATGTTGTATCATATTGTACAGCTGCTCCCTGATCAAGAATCCTCCTAGCTTCCTGGAGTCCTACCTAACACTTCAAAGCTCTTCTCAGCCTCTCAAAGCCTCCTTCAAAAGACCCCATTCTGCCCCGCGAAGTCCCCTTCTCCAAGGCAACCCCTTCTCCAAGGCGCCCCCTTCTCCAAGGCGCCCCCTTCTCCAAGGTGCACCCCATGGCCCCATGCCCAGCAGGCTCCAGGCAGCCTGGGGGAGGGGAAGGAGCACTGGCCCTGAGTCAGCAGGGCTGGGCACCCACTCCACAGGTGGGTGACCTGGACCCAGGCCTCGTGTGAGCAGTGACTGAGTGCCAGGCCCTGGAGAGGGACTGCCAGGTTCAAATTGCATCTTTGCCATTGAAGGACCTCAGCCTCAGGGTTCTCACAGGGATCATACCTCACACAGTTCTGAGTCTTAAATAGGACGGCCCACGGACCGTGCATAGCACATAAGACCTGGCACATCCTAGGGGTCAATGAACATGGGCCACTGTTGCCATGATCATGTTCTTACTTAGGGTTTCACGGGCCTGAAAAGGATTTTCCCCAACACGCTCCCTCTGGGCCTCTGTTTCTTCATTTGCACAGTGAAGGGACTAGAGTAGGTCAGTGATTTCCTTCACCTTCACCATCACCACCACCACCACCATCATCACTATCATCATCATCATCGTTGTCTTTTTTTTTTTTTTTTTGACCAATACAAAAGTTTATTTAACAAAAGTTCCATGTAAAAATGGACTGGACTCTATTTTTATATTGTATTAAAACAGGTGCTGTGGAGAGGGGACGTGTGGGAGCAGTTGATTTCTCTGGTGACTACAGCCTTCTTCATACTCGTTCCAAGGCTTCTAACATGATGATGCTATTTCCTTGTATTGCCACCATTCCAATATTGTTCTGTTGCCCACCAGTTGCCATCTCCACACATTCATCTATCACAAGATTCATAAAGGGATCAAATCCCCGTAATATTCCTTGGACATGTCTGCCACCATTTAATTTCAATGACAACTTCTTGTCCATAAACTTTTTTAACTCAGGAGGGTGAGCTTTGCTCATGGTGGCCAAGCAAGCTCAAAGATACTTCCAAAGGGAATTCGGGGCTGCTCTCATCATCGCTGTCTTAGAACCACTTTTCAAACCCGCCTCACTCAGAAACCTAATACACAAAGGTGGACTGGGTCTGGAAGAAATAGTGCAAGGCGGGCAGTGGTCTGGAGCCTGAACAGCAGTCCCTCCTCCCCTGGCAGCAACCCCAGAGGCCACCACAGAAACTGGGAGCGCCACTGACTTCAGGTCAAGCCCTGGCCAGGATGGTCCCAGGGCTCCCACCACAGGCACTCCAGGAGGCGCGTGTCCCCCTAGGAGCAAGAACTCTCCAAGGTCACACTGGGAGAGAAGGAAGGCCTGGAGAGAGACCTTCTGGGCCAGGGATGTTTCCACACTCCCTCTGCACAGAAAAGGGATGGGGGAGGGAGGGGTGCAGGGAGTGGAACAGAGGGCCTCCATCTAGAGCTGCCTGCCTGCCTGTCTGCCCAGGTGCACGCCACCCTGAACGCCTCCACCCTCTGCGCGCTTCCCAGCTCTGAGCTGCCCGCACTCCGCCATAACTGCAGCCCAAGAAAACATGGCCATAAAACAGTCATTTGCTTTAATTTTCACTTGAAGGGGCAATTTAGCACAGGCTGTTTGCAAGCTGTTGGAATTCTTTACGAGGCTCTATCATGTTTTCCCAAAATGCTCCCCCAAGCGGATTCCCTGGGTCAAAGTTCATACATAACTATTTAGGGGGAAACCCGGTTGGGGAGAGCAGGGAAGGCCGTGGAGAGTGGAGAGGCCGTCATTTTCAATCAGGTGGAGAGTGGCTGGGAAACTAAGATGAAGAGGAAGTCAGGATAGGGCTGCTCCCGGTCGGAGGCAAGCGCTGTGTGGCTCTGCCCAAACCTCCTCCCTCCCTTGGCCTCCCACCAGCAGAGGCCAGTCCTGGTCATAAACATGAAACACTGTGACCCAGCCCCAGGCTCGAGGGCCCTCGCGCTCTTATCCACGGTGGTCCTGACGCTCGTATTCACAGCCAAACCAATTTCACGGAGTTCAGACTGGCATTTTCCGCTCTCGGCTCTCTAGCTCTCACGTCCAGCAGCTTCGCACTCTGCCGCACAGACTGCTGACCTCCTCTGTCCTCAGTTTCCCCCCCTTGTCCCCCCCCCAGCTTGTTTTCAGGGTCATTCTTCCTTAGGAGAAAATGCTAGATTTTTAGTAATCCTCCCAGCTGCTCCAAGGAGCGGGGAAAGTCACCAATGCACCTCCTTCCAAAGCTGGGCTCAGTTCCTTCTCCTCAGTTTTCCCACAGTCCATCCCCTCTTCCCTCAAGAGCCCTGGGCTGAGAGGCGTCAGTAGGATAAGCCTCCCACACCATAAACAGAGCAGCTGCTCCCCAGTCTGGAGGCAGTGAGGTCCTTAGAGATCACAGACAGAGGAGGGGCTGGGAGGGCAGATCCCGGGGTCCCCTGAACATATTCCAGGTCCCTTTCAGCTCCCTACAAAGTTTCCAGCCCCTGAGGTCTTGTGGAGGCTGGGGGCACAGCGGCACTCTGAGGCCTTGATCCAACCCTCTCCCAGGGGTGATGTGGGAAGCGAAGGGGAGCCAGAGACCATAATGTAGGACAGGGGTCTCCCCTTACTACAGACCCGCCCCCCTTCCTCACACTCCTGAGGAATTTTGCTGGCCTCTGTAGACAACTCCAGCCTCAGTATTCCAAGGGAAGCATGATGAGGCGAAGGGGACATGTCTCGGGCTGGGAGCGATCCCAGAGGTCAGGGTCAGATAGGGGAGCAGGATGTCCAGGAGGCGGGGGAGTTGGGACTATGGGAACCTGGGGTGATGGGAAATCCCGTGATTCTTGCAGAGCAGCCGTGGATGGGAGACTCCAGCAGAGGAACTAACTGGAAGGTCACTGAGGCCTCTGCAGCCCGACCCTCCCAGCAGGCTGCAGACCAGGGACCCCACTAAGGGCTGATGCCACCCTCCTTGGTTGATTGGAGGAAAGGTGAGGAGTTCTCCCAGGGAATAATCGAGGAGAAAAGGAACAGAGCAGAGCCCACATGAAGAAAAAGGAGAAGGGAAGAAGACCCTTATGGATTGTGTGCATGAATTAAACTTCTAACTACTGAATCTTCTCTAGTGCCCCAGAGAAGCCTTCAACATTAATCCTAGCTCTCATATAAATATGCTGAGGGTGCCAGAGGGAGAGGGATGGTCTAAGACAGGGGTGGGCAAACTTTTTGACTCGAGGGCCACAATGGGTTCTTAAACTGGACCGGAGGGCCGGAACAAAAGCATGGATGGAGTGTTTGTGTGAACTAATATAAATTCAAAGTAAACATCATTACATAAAAGGGTACGGTCTTTTTTTTCAATAGTTTTATTCATTTCAAATGGGCCGGATCCGGCCCGAGGGCCGTAGTTTGCCCACGGCTGGTCTAAGATCACACAGATCTGTCTAGAACTGACACCAGTCTCAGAGAGGTGGGGGGAGGGGGGCTCTCTGGACCCTGGAGTTTAATTGTCATTGACCTAGTTACCATGCCAGCCTCCTCACCATCTATGGTGCAAGGGACTGTGTGTGCACCTACATCTCTATCCTCACCACCACACACACACACAGAACCTCGGAGGAGGGACATCTGACCTTCTCAAGGCGTCACTGGGAAACTGCTGCCCAGAGAGGGTAAGCTGCTTGCTCAGGCAGGATCACAGCCAGGAGAGTCGGAGCAGGGACTTGATCTAATTCAGATGGATGTTCCTCCTGGGGAGCCAGGCTCTCAGCTATTTACACACACAGATGCCAGGCACCATGTTGGCACCAGGAAATAAAGATGAATAAATACAGACCCTGCCTTAAGAGGCTCAAAACGGGGAGAAAGCGTCCTCCCACCCAACCTCTAGAAAGACTTATTCTCCAAATGTCAAGGACGAAGCTAAGGCAGAAGGTGCGATAAGGTGAAGCAATCAACAGGCCCCCTGGAGGAGGGGGTCTAACCCAATGCAGAGGTGAGTGGGAAAAGGGCACGTCCCGGTGCCCTGTGCAGGAGGAGGAAGTGAGTGCATCTGACCCAGCTTCCTTTTTAATATGTTTTCACTAGGGGCCCAGTGCACGAACTCATGCATCTTGAAAGCAACTGTGGGCCTTGAGGCTGCAGTGGGCATGGGGGCGGGTCTTGGCCCATCCTCCAAGCCCCCACCCAGCCCCTCCCGCCATGGCCCCTGGTCCCCTGTCTGCCGGCAGTCCCTCTCCCGCCACCGCTGCTCCTACATGCTGATGGCGGCTGCTGCCCTGATCACCCCTCAGGAAAAGGGGGGGGTAGAAAGCCCTCAGGGGTGATCGGGGTGGCAGCATCCACTCATACCACTGACAGTGCCGAGCGATTGGGACCAGTGCCGGGTGCCGGTGCCAGGCACTGGGCACTGGCAGCGAGTGCGAGCAGGGTCAGCGCCGACAGCAGGTGCAAGCGCCAGGCGGGACCACGGCACGGCACGTGGGAGCAAAGAATTTTCAGTTACCACCAGAGGCTCGCCCGGATGATAGTGACTGGCACCCTACTTTGGTCTGAACCCCCGCTCACCTGCTCCACCATCCCACCACAACCAAGGCCCGCCATGTTCTGTGCACGCCCCCTGGTGGTCCGTGAACATCATAGCAACCAGTTGTTCGGTTGTTTGGTTGTTCCGCCGTTTGGTCTATTTGAATAATAGCCTTTATTATATAGGATTGATTTCACAGAGGAAGGGAGAGGGATCGAGAGAGAGGAACATCCATGACAAGAGAGAATCATTGATCGGCTGCTTCCTGTAGGGGAAGGAGCTCGCAACCCAGACATGTGCCCTTGACCGGAATCGAACCTGGGACCCTTCTGTCTGCAGGCTGATGCTTTATCCGCTGAGCCACACCAGTTAGGGCTGATCCATCTTCTTGAGGAAGATACTCCTGCTGGAGGATTACGGAAGTCAGGTTGGGACCAGATCAGACTCCCTTGAATGCTAGGCTAGGGCGGCTGAGCCTCACCCAGGGGAACTAAGGAGTCATGGGAAGTTTTCATCTGGGGCGGGAGGACGACCCATGCAAAGAGGTTTTACTAGGAAATTTGCCCTGGAATTAGCTTGCAGGGCAGACCACCTGGGAAAAATCTGAGTCACCCAGCATGTCAGGCTGAGTACTGATGTGTTATCTCTAGGGGTGAGTGTGTGTGTGTGTGTGTGTGTGTGTGTGTGTGTGTGTATACATGCATGCAC